GCCGCGGACGCGGGCGTGGTCGTGGACGCGGCGAACCCCCCGGTCGGGGTAGAGGTCAAACAAATACCTCTACTCAGTATGAGAGAGAACAACTTGATGCTGCTGATAAGAATACTATGGTGCACTTTCCATGAGCGCTACGGAAATCACTTTCCAAGCAAGTGTGCTTTGAATCCAAACAAGAAAGCATCTACAAACACTCAAGCTAACGCGGTTACTGCACCAAATCCACCTACAGCGCCGTCCGAAACACCCTCTGCAAATGCAGTTAATATTGATTTCGACGCTCTTAATGCCTTCGCTATATCAGTTCGCTGTAGTACCGCTACTGTAGCTCAAGAGGACCAAAACCCGAACCACTCACATGATTGGATGCTTGACTCTGGGACAGTTGAAACAATGACTTATTCTAAGCATCACTTCACGTCCTTCACCCCCTGCGTACGTACGGCCAAGACTGCTACTGACGAGGCCTTCCAAACTGTCGGCTACGGCACTGTTTCGATCGAACTGGCAGATAAGGAGAACAAACCTTGTGGGCTTCTAGAGATTGAACGCGCTTGGTACGCGCCGGCCCTGTCACATAATCTTATTTCGTGTAAACAGCTGGCGCGCCAGGGTGTTCGCACACATATCGAGACCGAAGACACCACTGTTCTTATTCAGAACGGCAAGCAGATTGGTTTTGCAACTGCTAAGGATGCTCAATACTTTTTACATACAACAGGTGCCACAAGCCGCAAGGCAATTCAGAGCCTCTATCTCTGCGGTGCCCTGACACGCTCACCACCCACTGACCTCACTGCCAATGCTGTCAAAAAGGTGGTTCCTCCGCCGATCTCAATCCATCTCGCGCACCGACGTACGGCCCACGCCTCCGAGCGGAAGATCCGTGACTCCATTCAGCATGTCGTTGGATTCGACATCAAGAAAGGTACACTGCCAACACCCTGTGATCCCTGTCTCCGTGGAAAGGGTCACGCACTACCTGTTTCCCACAAAGAACCTCGTGATCTTGGTCTACGTGTTGGAGATCTTATCCATACAGACGTTTGCGGACCGCTTCCTACGCGCGGCCAGACTGGAGCATACTATTTTGTTACTTTCACGGATCATGCTTCCCGATACTGCTGGGTATTCTTGCTCAAGGAACGCAGCGAGGTACGAGACAAGTTCATTACTTTGCAGAACTATCTCAAGCGCCAGCTGAATATTGATGTTAAACGCGTCCATGGCGATAATGCACCTGAACATCAACCACTTGCATCTTACTGTCAAGAACAGGGTATTGTCTGGGACCCCGCGCCTCGCTACCGCTCGAATCTTAATCCAATCGCTGAAATCAAAAACCGCCATCTGGTTGAACCCTGTATCTCAGTTATGGCTGACAATCAGCTACCCCGCTTTCTGTGGGATCATATCATTCTCGCGGTTAACTACATACAGAACAGACTTGTACACAGCGCCATTGGGAAGACACCCTACGAAGCCTTGTACGGCGTGCAACCTGATATCTCGCGGTGGAAGGCTCTTGGCTGCCGCTGCTGGCACCTGACTCCCAAAAAGACTCGTGATAAGTTGGAAGATCACATGCAGGAAGGTCGTTTTGTTGGCTACTCTGAGTCAGTCTACAAGATCTACGATATCCGAACTCGTCAGATTGTATACGCTCGTGATGTTATCTTCAACGAAGAACCTGTTTCGCAAATGCCATTGGCAACATCTACATACGATCTTGATTCCACACGCCACGGCGAGATTGACACAGAGGCTCCGGTCCAGGAAGACCCTCGTCGCTGGTCACCGTTCGATATACTCTCCCAACATGAGCAACCTGTCCCCATTCCTTTTCCTAGTTATCCCGCCGCAGACGAGCAGGAGAAAACCAACGAAGAACCGGACTGGTTACTGGAATACAAACGAACTGGTGTACTCCCACCTTTGCCTCCAGTCAATGACACTGTCCGCAACACCACGCCTGAACCGGCAGTTACTGTTGAACATAATGAGTCTGACAAACAGCCAGTTGTTACCGATTTTCCCACTACCAGTACCCACCGCACAGAACCCGCTGACCCCAGTATGGAACCTGCTAACCCCAGCATGGAACCCACACCACTGCCTGAACAGCCACTACGTCGTTCTACACGCACCCGCAAACCCTCACGCGCGCTTCTCGAGTCCCTGGAGTCATACACTATCAGTGCGAATGATGACCCAGACCTGAATACTGACGCCTTTTATAAACTACTTATTGATAATCATCTTGCTCATGCTCTGTCCCTGGAGACCGCAGCCACACAGTCTTCTCCCAGCCCGCAGACGGGGGGGACCAACTTCACCAAAGAACCAACATCTCAAGATACCGGCTATACTCCTACCTCGTACGCCGACGCTATGGCATGCGCTGAGGCATCTAAATGGCGTGAAGCAGTGCATCGTGAGATGCGGGAACAGATCAAGCAAGGCACCTTCCGCGTAGTCCCACGTCCCCGCAATACACGGCTTCTTCCGCTTAAGTGGGTATTCAAGATAAAGCATGATGGCACTTACAAGGCCCGCCTTGTCGTCAAGGGCTTCCGACAGCGTGCTGGCAAAGATTATCAGATTGGAGAAATATATGCGGCCGTCGCTAAAAGTGTCAGCTTCAAGACGTTCATTGCTCTGGCTGCTAAGCTACATTGGGTCTTGCATCACCTTGACGTTGTCACAGCGTTCCTTAACGCTGAACTACGCGAACCAATACACATCGAGCTACCGGACGGCTTCCAGGAAAGCGGCATGTGCGGCGAACTTGTCAAGTCGTTATATGGTTTGAAACAGGCACCACGCGAGTGGTATAACATGCTTCATGACTTCCTAGTAGCCAACGGCTTCAAATGCTTACATGCAGATCACTCTGTATTCGCAGGGAAGAGCCTCTTCATACTTGTTTATGTTGATGATCTGCTTCTACTCGCGCCGGATAATACTGTGGTTGACACCTTCAAAACACTGCTAGCTAAGCTTGTCAAGTTTACTGATAACGGTCCCTGCACCCGCTTCCTAGGCGTTGACATCATACGAACAGATGAAGGCATCTACCTCTCGCAAAGGTTCTACATACAAGACTGTCTAAAACGCTTCGGTCTCTCTACCTGCAAGACCTCCCCCGTACCCTACAACCCCAAGAACCCCTTGTCAGAACATGACGGAGTGGCAGATCCTGATGATCTTAAGGCATATCAGGAACGCAATGGCGCGCTTATCTGGATCATGGTTAACACTCGTCCGGATATTGCATTTGCAACAAGCAAGCTATCTTCTTTCGCTAGTAATCCGGCCAAACCACATCTTCAAGCCATGAATCTTGTCTGGCGTTATCTTGCTGGCTCACTTGACCGCTGCCCCTTCTATCGTCGTGGTGGACCTGGACTTATCGGCTTCTGTGATGCTGATTGGGCCGGCCCCCATTCTCTTAACGCGATGTCGACCTCTGGCTACGTGTTCCAACTTGCTGGGGGGCCCATCTCATGGAGTTCAAAGAAACAGACCGCTATTGCGCTATCCTCAACCGAGAGTGAGTATATCGCTCAAGCAGTAGCGACACAAGAGCTACTCTGGCTCCAATTACTGTTTACTGAACTGGATATCCAACGCTTCAATGCTACACCTGTCTTAATGACTCGTCCCACTGTTATTCGTGCTGACAACCAGTCCGCTATCGCCCTGGCCAAGAACCCCGAGTTCCACGCTCGTACGAAGCACGTTTCCATCAAATGACATTTCATACGTCGAGAAGTACGTGCTAAGAATGTTGAATTTGTCTACATCAATACAACTGTACAAGCGGCCGACGGTCTCACCAAGCCACTCGAACGCCTTGCCTACTCCCGCTTTATCAAGCAACTCGGTATGGTGGATCATGTTTGAAATCTCGTCTAATATTCCTTTATCTACATACGTTTTATTTCCCGTTTAGGAAACGTGAACAACCTCACGTCTTCCCTTTGTACGTAATCCCGCTGACTACGTCCTCGTTCATGGGGGGTGTGAAAGGAGATCACGTGATCTCGGACCTAGTCACCTAGCCACCCAGTCACCTCCTCGCGTAGTTAGCTAGTTAGTCTGGACACACACACAATATCATCATATTGCTTCCACAAGACGCTTCTGTGACAGCAATGTTATTGATATTGGTGTGTACGTGTAGGCTAGCTAGCTAACTACAGGAGTAGATGATCAGGTGACTAGGTCTGAGGTCATATGACCTCTGACAACCCCCTATGAGTGAGGACGTAGTCAGCGCTGATTGTACGTAAAAAAGAGGAAAAGTGAGGTTGTTCGCATTTCCTGAGCGGGAAATAAAGTCATGTAGATACAGAAATATTAGGTAAGATTATGATCACAATCTACCATGTAGTACGGCGGTTAATAGCGGCTATCGGGTAAAAATGATTTCATGTGTTTACTGCCGGCAGAATAAGTATGAAGTCTGATTGGATTGCGTAGCTTATCTGACATACTTATCTATATGAAGCTGTACGTACACTATTGGATGACTTGCTTGGCTTCGCCATACAGATGGCTACTAGTCCTGAGCACCACGAAGAGGTGCAAGTCTTGCCCAGGGTGTTGTACACAGATATCCCGTACAACTGGGGTGCAGTAAATCAAGGAAACAGTCAAAATTATACATACCTAGAAGATGATAGGATCATTTTCATCCCCGTCTTTTTCAACTCTGATAGGCTGGCTGGGATCATGTCCTTCTACATCCTCAATAAGGATAGAATCACGTATAGATCCCCCTGTCAGGCCCCTGCCTTGCGCAGCAGCATCTGTACCATCCGTAAGTCCCGTCTAAACCTCATCCCGTACGGAGCAACGTGATGCCTGATCCGACCATTTACAGTTGGCGCATGCTCCGCCCCATGCACCTGGTAAATGGCGACACGAGGGAAAAGTCATCGTACCCGGGTGAGCGTGGCATCTCGAACACGGGGCAGGCAGACGACTTCCACGGGATTGTATGAGGCAGGCATTAATGTACGAGGGTCGGCAGGACTCAAGCTGATGAGCTGTAATCCGGCCACGTCGGAACTCAATATCTTGCCCAGGCATGGCAGCCACCTCCCTCTGTACACTAGTAAAGACGTACGGTCCCATCAATGCTGGTGATCCCGTAGGAAGCACTGGATTCTGACCAGGGGGAAGCTGTTCGTACATACGGACGAAGTATTCCTCCAGATTGCGGAGGGGGTGGGGAAGCGGGAGGCGCGGCCGCGGCCGGAGGTGGTGTTATTGGGCAGACTATATAGAATCATGATATGCAGTTGGAATATGTACGTAGACACGTCTAACAAGCCAGATAAGAAGGAAAAGGAGCTCAGCTATCTGATTTTGATCATCTAGCACGTACGAGGCCATGGTGGTAGGTGGTGGTGGTGATGGTGATGATGATGATGATAGTGGTGATAGTGGTAGTAGATGTGTTAACGGAAGGCAGAGATGGGAGATAGAACTTACTCAGTAGATTTAAACTAACACTGTATTTACTGTTTTAACTGTTTGATTCCTATTTTGTACGTACAGAGGCCTCACCACCGTGGACCCTACTCTGCCTGCCTACCCTGCCGTAGGAACGCACGAACCTGCTATCGTGTAGAGTAGTGTGTAATCAGAGACCTGATGGCCCATACCCGGCCGCCCGATTCTTGTCATCCTCCCCGGTCACATATCTCTTCCTCGTATGATGAGGTGGTGAGGGGGACTGGGATAGTTGATGCTTCAGAGATGCATCCAAAGCCTCTATCTCAGCATCCAGAGCATCAAGATCATCTTGATCTTCTCGTACGGCTGATCCCTCTTGTACGACTGACTCCTCTTTTTCAATGATCTCTCTTTTGATCTTCTTCTCCTCCTTGACCTTGGTCTCCTCTGCCTTATCTGTAGTAGAGGAAGGTACTGTACGGCGCTGAATGATCACATAGATCTGGTATGATCCGTGGCTGTACGAGAACCATTTCTTCAAGAAGTCCAGGACCTTCACATTGCCTCTGGCTGTTGGAGACAGAAAGACTGGTTGTTTCTGTACGATCCCTGTTGATAGACGGAATTGATCATCAAAGCTGCGTACGTACGTACAGCCAGTCATTGAGGAAAGTAGCTCATCTCGGAGGAAGTCATCGAGATTATGAAGTACGTAATTATCGATATAGGTCTGTACCTGCTCTGTAGAATAATAAGGTTAGTAATATATAAATATAAAGAATAGGAAGTCAAACCTAGCAAAGTACATGTAATAACTGGAATATCATCTTCAGATTTTCCTTCCTGTACCTTGTAAAGGTAGAAATGAATAATAGTCTTCATACTGGCTGGGTCTTTTGAGGTCTTCTTGCGCAGGAAGGCATTCTGGCGGACATTCTCTCTTCCAAATACTGCCGTACGAGGACCGATACTAGATGATGAGGTAGTCTGTATGTACAAGCCAGATTGTACAGGTTGTGGCTCAGGCGATGCAGTAAGATCAACATGAGTAGTCTGTTTAGGCAAAGGATTGACTGCCTGGCAGGTCGGGCACCGCTGGTAATGAGCAGGATGAGGTCGGCCAGTAGCAGAACAGTAGTTGGTCCAGGGAAGAGCCATTTTGTATGAGAGATGCCTTGTACGAGAGATGTTGATTTTCCATTCTGTACGGGGAAGAGCAGGATCTTAAGACTTCAAACGTGCGGTGAAGTAGGAAAAATAGTAAACAAAGAATATACAGGCATCTTGTACAGCCATCATGGATAGCTACTCTGATCCCTGTTGCTCGATCCAATCAAAGGCCCCGGCTGGCGCCTCAGATAGTGTCAGATCAGCCGCTAAGCCTAATCTCATGTGTGTTATCACCCGCTCCCGTAAGCCAAGGTAGATCGTACGAAAAGGGGCTTCCGCTTCATCCGGACGTACTGGTGGTGGCTTTTCAGGGTCAGAGCCGAGCCCCAGCAGGATCCCCTGACACCATTCCAAAGTCTCTGAAGGTAGATACTCAGCCATATCCCAGCCTCGTACGGAGTCCCTTAGCTGCTGAAGAGACTCCTCGTGTACGAGAAGACCATGGTCGATTATATGTTCTGGATGATAATAATTCATGAACGGCCGACCAGAGACAACATATGACCTCTCTCGTTGCTTCCGGATACGGAGTTGGTTCCACGTGTGTACGTACGACAAGACCTGCGTCCGAAGAATAGGCATGTAGACCGCGTACAAAGCAATCTGATCTGGAATTATATCTTTAGAGAAACCTCCTACTTCAATCAAGACCTTGAAGTAGTTCTGTGAAAGGAGATCACGTGATCTCGGACCTAGTCACCTAGCTACCCAGTCACCTCCTCGCGTAGTTAGCTAGCTAGTCTGCACACACACACAATATCATCATATTGCTTCCACAGTAAGAAGCCTTGAATATGAAGTGTACAACGCGTAGAAACGATGAGAAACGATAGGGGATACAAATATTTGATGATTTTGTAGCCACCCGGGCTCATAACCTGTTACAGCAATGTTGATTGTTATTGGTGTGTACGTGTAGGCTAGCTAGCTAACTACAGGAGGAGATGATCAGGTGACTAGGTCCGAGGTCACATGACCTCTGACGGACACCCCCGTCTTTCCAGGTCTTACACGAGCGTACGCACTGCTGAGTCGCTTCGAGTTTGCTATCCTTTGCCCCAACAGTACTCGTCCTGCGTGGACATCTGTACCACTATAGCCGCTACATTTTCTTCATTCAGCCTCTTTCAAGAAAATAGAAACCCAGCCCCTGACAGCTATCCTCACTTCGGTTACCGTATGCTTCTCCACTGCCGATGTTCGCATGACAATGACTTGCAAACAATTTCCTCATGACGAGAGGCAGGTTACAGCACCCTGAAAATATCCTACTCCAGAGCAATAAGGAGTCCGCAGAGACTTAGGGCTTTCAAATAGTGGATGGAGTTTTCCATTCGTCCGCATCTCCGGCCAAGCTTCGACTGCCCCAAGGGCAAGACCACTTCTTTCCTTAGTATGCCTCCCTTCAGCACCCAACAAGGCAAGCAGGGTTGTGGGAGCTGAGGCTCAGAGGATATAATCTAATGACTCTAACCAGGGCCCTGTTGGTTGTCACCCTGTTATGATACTATATGTATATTTTTCGCAGATTTGAGGTTTTTTAAAACAATGTCGAATGATCCTCTTCTACCAGGAAAAGTTGGGAAAAAAAAAGAAAAAAAAAAAAAAAAAAAAAAAAAAAAAAAAAAGGAAAGAAAAAAATAATTAAACTTCAAAGTTAAAACACAACTTAACTTTAGGGCAAAAAGTTTTTTCCGACTCATTGCCATTGGTCATGTATTCAAGCGCCGCCATCAACAGAAGCCGGACTGGCTTCTAACCGTGCAATTTGAAATTTGCCCAAATTATGAGTTTTTAGCCACCAAGTCATTAGTGCCTCTGTCTCACGGTGTTGTAGTAGTTTAAACTCTAATCTTTGTTTGCCGAAATCCTGAAATTCAATTCTTTTGATTCTCGGTCATCATGGACAGCAATAACTAGCTTGACTTAAGTTAAGTATGTAGTTCTTTCACCCGTGGGTGAGCTGAGCCCTTTATTTGGACTATTGTTATCCTCAATTCATTGCACGACAACATATACATGTATCGAAGTAGCCAGAGTCAAAGGACACGACCCTTGATCACTAATTGATTGCGCCATTGAACCTCGGAGATAGGTGACCGTTAAGGCCTAGAAGGGGTTTAACTGAACCCACTCTGTACGATAGGCTATGTTCCAGTGTCGATCAGGGGGGTCGGGTTTAACCTTTCTCGGCCTCTACCGTAGCAGCAAAGATCGGACAGCCAAGCCCCGACCTCGGCGCACATCCCGTTGTGGACCGGCTCTAGACCCAACGGATTATAACACTAAACAATTCGGGATTTGTAGTGTCGGTATAGCTATGATATAGCCATTCGATCAAGAATTCACTCCGGCAATGACTCCTACAGAGATGTGAGCTGTTTCTTTACCACCATAGCACCAATATTGATCAAAAGGTTGTCCATGAAAAGGACCGGAATGCTCGCCAATTATTCACATTCACGATCATTTGGTTGGTGTTGTAGCCACGTCTGCATATAGCTTACATACATAGCGTTAGTGGTCAGTACGTTTAACCTTATCGAGATCCTCATCGCCACGAGGACGGTCTTCCCGTCTCGCACATTACCAATTTAAGATTATGATATTCCAAGACGTCTTGTATTCAAAGGCCACGCTAGTTGGACAATTAAGGTCCAATAGCTACATATATTCAGCAGTCTTTTCTATCTGTGGCCGAGGGATTTTCCTTTCCCTGGCCTCAAACAATGCCGCGTACGGCGGGCAACAGCGGCCATCGGGCAAAAACGATTCTGATGGCCAAATACGTTCACCGCTGACCTCACCGCCAGATGATGCTTATTATTTCTCTACGTACAGTGCTTTATTCTCTACATTTATTATGTTGTTGATTATGGTACATCTTACCATTGACCTAGAGTTGTACAAGGCTGAGATTATTAATCTATTCCATCAGAATCCATAAGTAATATTACTAACTTCTACTATTAAAGCTAAAAAGTACCATGTATAAGTCTGTGAGCGTATAATCAAGAGTCGCTTAATATATATTATGATACTAGTATACAGCTTATCTAATAATACTATCTCCAACTACTGCTGCGCCTCCTGTCTTCCTTCCCTCTATAATATAGAGGAATACTTTATCTGTATATATTAATCGTTTTCTTCTAGTTAAAATCCAGTGCTCTCTACAGAGATACCAGAGTTAATGAGACTGTACATCTTTACTAACATATAGAGAGATGTAGCTGCCATGCCTGGCTAAAATATTAAATTCTGATATAATTAGATTATAGCTTATGTCGGAACACTAACCGCTAGACCAAAAACGATATATCGCCATCAGTCAGACTAGCGACGGAGAGATTACTGTCCCAACAGTTTATAAGCTTAAGTCTTGCTAACTTTTATATATCAATACCTGCCCGTAATAGAATAACTAAAGTATCATAGTCAGGATCCCTAGAATAACATATTATAGTGGCTACGGGAGTCAAGATTATTGATAGTATATCTGTATTCTCCCGGCGCTTATAAGGCACTGACTTCTTACTACTGGACTACTGATCTCTCAAGGATTAGTTTATTCTGCGGATATAGGCTTTGAGTAAACACCATCTCTATCTATTTCTAACCTACCAGTTACTCTTGAGCTCTCGAGCCCCATACGTATATGAAATTGGCCTTGATGCTAGGCGGACAATTCCTGACCCGTTATGAAATTTAGCGGTAAGGAACGGAATAACTATTTATGAGTAGAGTCTAAGCTCAGAGCATATCACCGAGCCGGAAGGTCTTTCTTAGATACACCACAGCACCAATCCCAAACACAGCCGTTTCTCGCCATCCAGATTTCCCTGCACCCTCCCTTCACAAGACAAACTGTATACTTAAGTCCGCGAGAAATTCTTAAAGACCGACCGCGCTGACCAAGAACTGCGCCGCAGTTTGCGCATCATCGCCATAGGAAAGGTGGGCCATGACATCGGAGCCGTTCTCGCAGACCGGGTCGCCAGTGGCGCAGAACTCCTTCACTTTGGAGGAGTCGAGGGTGTCGACCGACTCGGCCTTGAGCGGGTCACCGAAAAGCACGGCCGCTTGGATCTCCCCCGAGCTCAGCTGGCTAGCGGCGTTGTGCACCACCATGGCGCCCTGCGAGTAGCCGCCCACCACGACCGTGGTGTTGGGGCATTGGCTGATGGCCTGCTTGACTAATGAGGCCATGGTACTGCCGCCAGAGGCGCCCATGTCGGCGTTACCCTGTTTGATGGTTTGTTAGTTTGGATGCCGAGGTGGGGGAGCGAAGGTTTGTGGAGGGGGATGGGGGAACATACGGCCCAGTCAGCAGGGTAATCGACACCCTGCACGGCGACCTTGTTGCTGGTCAGGGACTTCAGGTCAGAGGCCACCTCGGGCCCGACGATGGTGCCCATGTTGCCGGTCTCGGAGGTACCGCGGGCGAAAATGAAGGTAAGCTCCTTGCAGCCGGTGTTGTCGGTGACGTCGTTGGCAGTGGAGGAGTCTAGTGAGGGTTTGTCAGGATGGGAGTTTAGCTGATGGGTAGGAAAGGATCCTGCATACCGGTCGTAGCACGGCCAAAGAGGCTGCTGAAATCGCCGCTGGAACCGCTCGTGGTGGTGGTGCCACTGCTGGGGAACAGCGATTCCAGGGCACCTAGACCGTCGCTGGTGCTGGTGCCACTGCTGGGGAACAGCGATTCCAGGGCACCCAGACCGTCGCTGGTGCTGGTGCCGGTGCTGGCGCCACTGATCGGGAACAGAGATTCCAAGGCACCCAGACCGTCACTAGTACCGGTGCTAGATCTGCCCAGCAACGACCGGTGGTTGACGCTCTGGGTCGGGGCACCCAGGGCGGTGGTAAGCAGAGAGAGAGCAACGACGGACTTCATTGTGAAATGAAAGACAAGATTGAATAAAGATCAAAAATGAACGTGATGATTAATTTGTTAACGAGGGTAGGACGAGCACAGCTCTTTTTGATTGCAAAGAATGATGGAGAAAGGAGGATGGAGGGAATGGTAGAGTGAATGGCTTGGATTTTATCAATTCGGGGGCATCTTTCGCTCTTTTATACTCACGCTCAAGCATGCTCAAGTCTCTAAAGTGAGGCCATCAAAAAATAAATGAACAGGGAAATTTTGTTTGTATGGGCCGTGTTTCAGATCCGAAGGCTGTCCGAAAGAGGTCGGCTCGAAAGAATTCAGGACGGGAGCTGAACCTCGGTACACGACCTGCCTCGGCGGCCAATGTTTCAGCGCGGTCAATCGCAGCTGAGATGTTCTCTCATGGTAAGAAGTGCCGACAGCACTGTGGTCTGATAGATGCAGATTTTCCTTGTTTCATCCCCCGGAGCCCACTTGGTGCTTTCTAGCGCAGCCCGCAATCGCCCAATTTTTAGGGCTGCTTTCCCCGTTTGGGCAAACGGCCGATCTAGACCAGTTGCGGGTAGATCTGTAACATATTGATTAATGATAACAGAAGGGTGTGCAATCCGGAAGAATTGTATAGCTCCCTATGACACAACTGATCTGCGTGCGGAGTGAGAATATGACAAGTCAAGGCAGATGGTGATATGACTGGCGATCATTATACCCTTCTCAATATTCCAGAACCGTGCAGTAGGCATTTTCTTCCAACCAATCATTACACTGACCATGTCTTGACTTGTTCCTAAATCCAGAAAGCATTCATCAAATCTCCGTCAAGCCCGAACGTTAATCCTCGGTCAAGAATACCATTCTTGTCCACTACTCGGAAATGAACCTTGACGTTACTCGGGAAGAAACCGTGGTGTTCTGCTCTCACTGTTTCTGAGGTGACGGGCCATTCCACCAACACCTCAGGACCGTCAAGGATCTCAAGCCAAAATCGCATGTGTTCTTGCTATCCATAGTAGTCTGATCATCTTGTTCCTGCTCCATCAATAAGCTATTGAGTAGAATATTACTGTAGTGCCAAATTCCCTGAATCTCTCTTCCTCCTCTTCACACTGCAGCCCGTTATACAATTAGTTTCTCAATTGGCGGTTTGCGCCAGAGCACTCTGTGTGGAATACGGCCTTGCGCCTTCCGACTCGTAGATCTATGTCTCAATCAAAACACCTTCCTAATCAGCTATTCCACGCAGGTAATTCAAGCCTCAGCCCGTGAGCCCACAGTTCGATGAAATCCTGCAATTTTGCAATCGTGTTTTGGTGCTGACTCGAATGAGAGCCACAATATCGATTGACTCCCAATGCACGGTAACTTTTGGACCCACTACCATCCTTCGATCAGATTTATACTGGGTCTATTGGCTAAATGCCTCGGCTTTCTCGCAGCCAAAGAACTCCCTGGTGTTGTCTCTCCACAGCCCGGGGTGAACAAATATGAATGGGTTAAGAACGCCTGAAGCCAGTTAACATTTAATTAGATACTACGCCATTCAGCGCATGGTTACTATATTCGCAATTTCCCAACAAACGAACAAGGAAGGAGCGTCGTTGCAGGTCACTTCTGTTACTAGTTGACTAGGCTTTATCTCTATCCATATGACTCAAGCAAGCCTGTTTCCTTCTATCCACCCTGGCAACCTCATTCATAGCTCATCACCACTACCGAACGAGATCAATATATTTAAATATTTATCAAAAACAGTGCTCTTTGAATATACTACCGCTTACAGCGATCTTCTATATCCTTGCTTATCACAACTACACAGACGATTAGATTAGAGGCCCCTCAAAACAGAAATCGTCAGTAGTTCGTAAGGATCGCTTAGCTAATTGGTAAAGCTGGACTGTCCTGTATTGTCCATCTAAAAACGGTCTATTATCGTCTGTTGTCGATAAGTTCATGTAAGGAAAGGTTATAGTCGAGCCACAGCGTAGCGTGGGAGAAATAGATAACAATCAACGGATACTTATGTCAGAAAACTTAGAGTGGTAGTCCATTGTTGTCTTCTTGACAAAGATCAGTTAGAGTCAATTGACATAGTACGAGTCGTTTGTCCAGGCACCGCATGTATAGGTGATTTAACATCATCTTCATCTACTGGCACAGAATTAAGGGTGGGTAGCTCAAACTAACAAGCGTCCGATTTGTGATGGCGAGCGACGTGACTGAGGCACGTGACGTAGTTTTCACTTACTTTGTTTGCCACACGTGATCTTGTTTTGTTTGTTCTGTTTGCTTCGCCTCGCTCGCTTACCTTCGTTGTTCGCACACGTCCCCCCACACTCCTTTCCTTTCCCCTCTCATGTTCGATATTCTAGTTTAGACGCTCCAAATAGGATTATTTGATTGGCTCCCACACGATTTATTTGTACTAACCTTATGATGGCTACCATTGATCTTTGCTACTTATCTGGTAGTAATGTACGCCTACCCTGATCAGGTAAAGCTCACTTGTTAGTTTTCATTCACGACTACTGAGCCATTGAAAGGCCACAATTCTGTTTGTCTACTTGATATTTACTATAAGTGAAGAATACTTATTCCTTGTTTCTGTTGATATACTGATGTTTAATAATATATATTAGTATTTACATGAATGATTATAGACCTTTAATTCTGTGCAGAGTATACTAAAAGTTCTTCTATTGCTATGATAGTTCATGGAATTTTAACTATATATTTTTATAGAAGCTGTAGGATATAGTAGTAATATAGTCAGTCTAATATAATCTGCTAATACTATAGTCTACTAATCCAGGATCTAGTAGTCCAGGACCTGGTGTGACAGCGTGCCACATGACAACGAAATGATTGAATTGCAAGCTTATATGTGATGCGCGTTCTGAGTCTGTTGACTCAGAATTCTAGTCTTTTACTGGTTAGTCTAGTGGTTAGCAGCACCGAACGATTCACTTCTGAAGCGCACCAGAATTAGATCGTGACACCTGGTCTATAGCTAACAGACCACAGTATTAGTAGACTATATAATAATTAAGTAATACTCTGACAAGCCGGCCAGAACAGCAGCAGACTACTAAGAAAATATAAGCCAATAGTATCTGCCATATATATTACTTCTATGGAATATATAGGATATAGCAGTAATGTAGTTAGTCTGGTATAATCCACTAATACTGTAGTCTACTAACCCTAGACTAGGTCCTGGACTACCAGGGCCAGGATTAACAGACTATACCAGGCCGATTATACTGCTGCTATATCCTACACCTTCTACAGCACAAATATATACAGTAGATACCACTAGCTTATACATCCTCAGTAGTCTGCTGCTGTTCTGGCTGGGTTGTCAGAGTATTACTTAATTATTATATAGTCTACTAATACTGTAGTCTACTGATCATAGACCAGGTCCTGGATTATCTGTGAATGGCGGTCACATGACCGGAGGCTACCTCATCCTTCTCCCTCTGGCTGCACGTTTCTTCCTGTTGGCACGTATCTCGAGCCATCCAGTTGCCCCCATAGCTGAGAAACACACAATATCATCATATTGCTTCCACAGGTCTCCCGCTCACCCTGTGCTCAGTGATCGCCTCAGGCTGCTCAGGGCGTGCTCAGATCTACTCAGTGAGCAAAAAGCAGCTAGGGGTGAGCACTAAAACGGAAAGAGTAGGCCATTAACGGTCCTAGAAAATCAAGTACATATGAGAACAGTCGCTTGGTCCCATGCGATATGCTCGGCGATCGGCCTCATGAATCACGTGGTGTGCTTTGTTTGCCTTGTTTGTTTCGCCTCGCGCGCTCGCGCTGACTTATCCGTGTTGTTCTCCCACATTCTCCCTACACTCCTGCCTTTCCCTCCTGGTTTTAAATATTTCAGTCAAGTAGCGCCAAATGCAACAGATTCGACCGGCTACCACACACTGCTTGGCCCACCTTGGCCCTCTTGGTGGCGGATACGAGTCGGATTATCTGTTGTCCCGGCCCGGTCCCGAATTACGCCGCCCGCTTCGCCTCAAGAGTCTGCACCTCGTTCCCTTCGACTCCAAAATGAGGAGCGCGCCTCTCCGCAGCATCTTTAGTGACAGGCTGAAGCCGGGGTCCACCGGCTTATAAGAGACATCGACAGCCAGGAGGAAGACGCCAGCGAGCAAAACAACACCGACACCGAACACCTGGAGGCGTCGTCGCGATCTCGATTCGACTTATTCCTTATGCATCCAACTCTATCTCAGTCCCTGTCATACCCTTCCTCTGCTACCCACTAGCACGGCATCACGACAAATCCTCTTCCTTCCTTCTTCTACCGAGACATGGCTCCGTTACTGGGCCATGATACGCGCTCACCTTCCCGACGAAATGGCCACGAGATGACACCAAAGAACATTCTCTATATCGACGCGTACGACTCTTTCTCCTACAATGTTGTCGCCATGCTTGAGGAGGTGCTGGATGTCCAAGTTACAATTATGCATATTGACTCAACATGGCCGGATGGGAATGCTGCCGACTTTCTCAAACACTTCGAAGCCGTTGTTCTTGGGCCGGGCCCTGGTGATCCACATATACCGGACGATGTGGGAATCATGGAGGATATCTGGAACCTGAGCACTGCAGACATGCTTCCAGTTCTCGGCATATGTCTCGGTTTTCAGAGCTTATGCCTTCGTCACGGTATTCCTATTCTCCGGCTACCGTATCCGCTCCATGGCCAGGTTCGCCGCGTTCAAACTACCGGTGAAGATATATTTGATCGCGTACCCAATCTGGAGGTCACTCTATACCACTCCCTATATGCCCAGCTGGAGAAGGTACAGAATGACCACGAAGAGGCACGATCAGACAAGTCTGCAGCACAAGAGCTTGATATTCTGGCATGGCTGCCCTTAGAGGAACAGGTCTCCACTGGCTTGGTTCAGCCGATACAACTTCCAATGGCTGTGCGCCATAAGAGCAGACCCTTCTGGGGTGTTCAATTTCATCCAGAATCTTGCAAGTCGGACAAGGAAGCATGCAGACAGATACTGGGGGAATGGTGGAAGATGTCTCTCCACTACAACAGAACCAGTAGACGAGGCACTCCTCTGAAAATGATACGCGACTGCCTCCACGAATCGGACGCCATAGCTTCTTTACCGAACATCGTGCATACCATGTTGACCTGGTGCACATCTACTTCAAGATACTCTTTTTCTCGACACTTCTACACTAAACCGCTAGATTCGGCCTTGATTTGTGAGACCCTCAACAGTTCCGGTTCCCCGACAGTGATGTTTAAATCCAATGGCCGACACAGCATCATATCTGTACCTAGTCCTGGCAGCTGGAGGTTAGAATTCTTCACGCAGACTGAAAGGCTTTTCATGGAAAATCTTAATTGCGAGAATGCCCTAGAAGGGCAGTCTGTGATTAATACATCCTTGTCAACCAGCCAGTTCTGGGATGTCCTTCGATACTTGATGGACATGAAAAAGGTCGAATCAGGCAGTAAGGATGTCCCGTTTTGGGCTGGGTTCCTCGGGTACTTCTCATATGAAATGGGGCTCGCTTGCCTTCCGCACGCAAAAGGACATGGCCACAACTCCTCGGTAGAGGATTCAGAAGATCCAGTGGATGCGAGTCTACTATGGACTGAACGGAGTGTGATTCTCGACCATGAGTCTGGCCGTGTTACTGTACAATCTACACGGGAAGCTGACAATGAGCCGGCGGGGTGGATCGAGGAAACAGTGCGACTCCTGCAAGATTTATTATTTCATCCTGTCGTGGACATTATCGACAGTATCACAACCGACACAGTGGCTCTGGATTCCATACTCAGTCGATCCACAGCACAATTTCCGAATGAACAACAATACAAAGAACAGTTTGACGCCTGTATCGCCGAACTGCACGCCGGTGAATCATACGAACTGTGCCTTACCTGCGAAACAGTAATCACAGTGCCTTGCTCTGAACCAGACAATGGTAGCATGAACTTTCCTTGGCTGTTGTACAAGCGCCTTCAAAAGTACAACCCCGCATCTTTCAGTGCTTATGCAAAATTAGGAAAAGTCAAAGTTCTAAGCAGCAGCCCTGAGTGCTTTCTCAATTGGGACCGGAAGTCTCTTCTGGAGATGAAACCTATGAAAGGTACCGTGAGGAAAGCAGACAATATGACGCTTGGAATGGCCAAAGAGATTCTCAGTTCGACCAAGGAAACCGCGGAAAACCTCATGATTGCGGACCTTATCCGGCATGATCTCTATGGTATCTGTGGTTCAGGTGGCGTATGTGTTGAGAAACTTCTTGAGGTCGAGGATTACGGGCATGTTTTTTCAATGATTACACATGTCAAAGGCCAAGTTGATCCAACTCGGCCTGGGTTCGCTGCACGGGACCTTCCACAGTTGCAGTCGGCGGATATGTCAGCATACGGGCTTACGGCTCTGCAGAGATGCCTTCCGCCAGGTTCTATGACTGGTGCACCGAAGGAACGTTCTTGCATGCATCTCTCCTCTATCGAGTCTCGTAGGCGCGGAGTGTATTCTGGTGTCATGGGATTTCTGGATCTCGGGGGAGGTGGCAGCTTTTCAGTCCTTATCCGTACCGCATTCAGCTCTTCTAATGACAACTGTCTCGAACAAAAATGGCGAATTGGAGCGGGCGGAGCTGTTACGATCCTAAGCACCGCTCAAGGCGAATGGGATGAGATGTTGACAAAGCTAAACACGGTTTATACGGTTTTCAAGCCGACTACTTCAGTAGTCCTCAGCTAAACAAGCACATATTAGGGATTTTGCTTCCCAGATCTGCTCATACGACAACACTGATCACTATCGCCATAAAGCTAACAACGGAGACCGACTCCACGCAAATACCCTTTGCGCTCATGGGAAGGATTCCATGAGAAGGTGGGCTGCAACTCAAGCAATCGAGCCTCTTAACCCACATTGGCACCAAAGTCTGTTGCAGGCTATCTTCGCCTGACGTATCGATTCGACAGAGGTGTTCTTTGTTTTTACCTCCGCCTTAAAATGAGTGCGAAGCGCTCAACAACACAAATTCTGTCCATCAGGTGCAGAATCTTGCTGTGCGCATGTCTTGATCGCGCTGATCACGTCGACTGTGTTGTTTGAAAGGCCGATCCCTTTGATTTGAACTCAACTTTTTCCAGTAGAAGTAAGGAGCTGCGGAGAGCCGCGCTCTAATCAAGATACCAACAGGTCAAAAGGTTGCACCTGAGTCCAGGGCAACTGTAAAGGACTTAGGCATTTCTGTCCACGCTCGCTGCCCGTTACGCGGCCATACGCTCCGACGTTACGCCCGTTGTGCTCACTCTCGCAAACCGCTGTCGGCCGCCCACGCCGCCAACACCCACTCCTGTGCCCTTCCACTCCTCCGCCCACCGGCCAGTCACGTGGGCCTCCGCCGTAGTTGTGAGGGCTACACAAAACGCAAGCGCCCGGCTGTGCGCCCCCCTCCCCACGCCGGTTGACGGTCCGAGGCGTCGCTACATGGCGATGTGGAGAGGTTGATCGGTGGATTTGCCAGCCCGTGCGGCCTACGACCTGCCTGAGAGGCGTTGTCGGTGGGCGACCTACAAGGATCTCTACGGTGCATGTACGCGAGGTCGGCCAGATATTAGATTTTGGTGT